TTTATATTTATATTTATATTTATATCCTTGCCTCTGCATGCACTCATTTATTTAATTTTATTTTACTCCTGTGTCTGTTAATTTATTTGTTTGTAGCTGCCCTTCAACACTTTTAAATTAGTTAATTAATTTTTATTTATTTATTTATATTTATTTATATTTATTTATTTATTTATATTTATATTTATTTATATTTATTTATTTATTTATTTTTGTTTCTTAGGAATTCATTGATGTAGTGGTGAAGGAGTTAGGGGCAGAGGCTTCGCCTTGGCTTGCAGGTATATATATTTTATTTATTTATTTATTTATTTATTTATTTATTTATTTAACTGTTTATTTATTTATCTATTTATTTATTTTTTATTTATTTATTTGTCTCTCTGTTTTATTTGTTTATTTGTCTATTGATTTTTTTGTCTGTCTCTTCTTCTTCTTTTATTTATTTATTTATTTGTTTATTTATTTATTTTTTATTTATTTATTTGTTTATTTGTTTATTTATTTTATTTGGCTCTGTATTTTTCTCTTTGTTTGTCTCCCTGTTGACTTCTTATTGGTTGTGTTTATTTATTTATTTATTTATTTTATTTTTATTTATTTATTTTTGTTTATTTATTTTTATTTATTTATTCGTCTCTTCTGTTGCTTTGTTTATCTTTATTTTCTTTATTTATTTTCTTTGTTTAAAAATATAATTTGTTTGTTTTTGTCTTTGTTTGTCTCCTTATCGCTTTATCTGTCTCTGTTATTTCTTTTTGTTTGTTTTATTTAATTTATTTAATTTAATTTAATTTAATTTAATTTAATATTTTGTTTTATTTTGTTCAGAGGGATTAGCTCGCCTCCCACCATTCATCTGCGCCCATGCTGCAACCAGAGATGCTTATCTCGTCAGTTGCTGCTGTTGCTGCTGCTGCTGCTGCTGCTGCTGCTGTTGCGGCTGCTGCTGCTGTTACTGCATTAGCAGCTGCTGCTGCTGCTTCTGCTGCTGTTTGCTTCATTTAATATTTTATTTAATTTGTTGCTTTTAATTGGTTTCGTTTGCTTCAGTTTGTTTTATATTACTTTTATTTATTTATTTATTTATTTAATCTACTTATTTTACTTCGTTTTTATTTATTTTATTTTATCTATTTTATTTTATTTTATTTTGTTTTATTCTCAGGAGAAGCTGCAGGGAGGTCGCAGCAGCGCATGCGCCGCCATAGAGGAGATAAACGAAAGGTGATGCAATAAATAAATTAAATAAATAAATGAATAAATAAATAAATAAATAAATAAATAAATATGTAAATTAAAGAAAAGAATAAAACAGATTATCAAATAAGCAATAAAAAGAAAAACGTTCGCGGCTATTAGAGGGTCTTTGAGGGTTTAGGCTTTTAAACGTTTTTCTTTAGGGTTTAGGGTTTAGGGTTTAGGGTTTTTTAGGGTTTATAAGGGTTTAGGGTCTTCAAGGGGTTTATAAGGGTTTATTAGTTAGGGGGTTTGAGGGGTTCAGGGTTTTATATATCACTCTTAAGGGTTTTAAAAGGGTGTTTTAGGGTTTAGGGTTTAGGGTTTAGGGTTTAGGGTTTTGGTTTTAACTGCGTTTTAGGTGCAAGCAAGCTGCAATGCGGCATCGAGCATAGACAAACAAAAACAAAATAATAATAATAATAATAATAATAATAATGACAATAGAAAATAAAAAGAAACAAATACAGAAAAGAATAAACAAAAACATCACCGAAGCCCCTAAACAGATGCATGCATTTATGCATGCATGCATAAATAATGCATGCATGCATAAATGCATGCATAAGTGCATGCATAAAGATGCATGCGTCCATAAAGATGCATGCATGCATAAAGATGCATGCATTTATGCATGCAGATGGATGCAATGCCGATGGATATATGCATAAATGGATGCATGCAGATGTATGCATGCAGATGGATGCATGCATAAATGCATGCATCCACACATTTGCATGCAGATGCAGATCCCCGTGTTAAGGGGAGGGCTCGCTATATATATATATATATA